AACAATGAATATTATTACTTTTTATGAGAATTAATTATGCTGAGATTGTTTATTTAAATATTACATATATGTGGGCATTTAAATATTAATCTGTCATTCTTGTTSAGTTATTACATCTTTGAAAATTAACTAACTTGATCACCTGCAGAACGATTTYATTTTTTGGTTTGTATGAATATGAATATAATCTYTTTGTGCAGGATTAATATCACCCGCTGAATTTCATGCATTTCCGAATATAAATTGAAACTTTCAATCAAACGGGAGGGCATCATGAGCATCCAGATTGTCTTGCATTCCTTAAGTGCTTACGCATCGTGTGGCAATTGGAGGCACGAACGAGCATGTCGCATTGGGATGATTGAAGCCGGCGCCCAACTCTACTCCAAATGATTTCATTGCGATGCCGATAAAATTGTCGCCAGCGAAATGTCCACGACTTTGATTTTGACCGCCATAACATTAATTTCCAACGAAATTACACATACACAACAGAGTGAACGAGAGGGAAATAACAAACAATAAGCGCTGGAGCATATACAGCAAACACAAGGCCTGCCTGGGATAAAAAGTTTGCTTATCTACCGCTGGAGAGCCGCAGACCGAGACTGGGATCGGGACCTGCAACGGCGCTCATTTGCCTTTGACATGCGAACGTTTTTGAACCTGCGCCTAGCTAGCTCCTCTTGTCTCAGGTTTGTGGCACTCGGATGCCGTGGCTCCCAAATGAGAATTCAATAAATTTTAGCAAATAGCCTCGAGCAAGTCAGCAACAACAACAGCAACACAATGGATATTTGGCGTCGTTAGTCTTTTTGGCGACGTTTAACATGAATATGCAGTGTGGCTAATGTGGAGCCCATAAACACTTCCAGCGGCAACATGAATGGAGCTGCAGCYCCACAGCCGCCGACAAGCAACAGATGTCCCCACCGAGAGCTGMAGAAAAAGAAACAAAACAGGTTGCGACCTACGTGTGTGGTGTTTAGTGGTTGGAGCTGGAGCTGAAAGTTGGGGAATCAGCCGCTTAACAATTGTTTGTTAACGCGATTTGAAATGAAACGAAATGCCACCGTCGAAGATTTGCAATTTGGGCAATATCCCTGTCTCGCTCGCTCCTCGGCTACCGGTTATCGGTTATCGATTCGGCCTGAGCTCCGTTTGGCGGGCTCTCAAAGGGGCCGCCGCATTTCCGTTGGCCAGCGCAACAAGTTGCATGTGTGAGGCAACGACTCGAACAATTTTGCATGTAAATGGCAAACAACTACAACGTGAAAACATCAATTACATTTGCTCTTACCTTGCGGCCAACTGCTCACCAGGATTACCTGGCGATCGTCGCGCTCAATCAGCGCACTGGCACTGGCGCTGGCGCCAGCATTTAAGATGCGGCTCTCTCTGATCTGCTGATAAGCTCATGTCGTCGGCGTTGTAGCTGTGCTTCTTCTTCTGCTGCGCTCGTTGTTGTTGCTATTGCTGGCGCAGTGAAGCGGGAGAGCGAATTGTGCAGCCCTCTCTGCGAACCAGCGTGAGCTTGTGATGCTGGGACTGGTTTTCCTGGCCAGCACGCGAAAGATAGAAGACGCAATTATGTGTACAAAAACAAAAAGTGAACAAAATGGAAGCACACCAAATAATTTCAAAATATA